GCAGGGGCAGAGGCATTTGTTTTGCAGGAAAGACGCGAAACAAAAACATATTCTACGTTTTTATATTCGAATAAAACGTTTGCTTTTATTGCGAAGCAATTGCCTCGTATGTTTGTTCGATTGTACCCAAGTAACACATGAAGCTTTAAAACGTCTGCGATAACGTTGTCGTAGCTTAAACTGCAGCATTTTTGTCTACCACAGCTACTGCGACAACATCATTATGACGTTTTGAGAAAGTTGTAACAGCAAAAGTGGGACAACATTTTTAAGCTTTGAAAATGATGTCACAGCTATATGGTTGCACAGCTATTTTGCTGTAAAGACGTCATCACAGTCATATGGTTGCACAGCTATTTTGCTGTAAAGACATTGTCACAGTCATACGGTTGCACAGCTATTTTGATGTAAAGACGTTGTCATAGCTACATTACAGCAATCGGAGTAAGCAATACAAATAACGGATAATTAATATTCAAGCAATACAAATAATGGATAATTAATATTCAATAAAAGTTAAATTTTAATTTTAACATTCCGTAAAAAGGTTAAAAAAATATTAAAATTTTTTTTTTGCTTTAACTGGGATTGAACTTATGACAACCCGAAACCTTTGCTTCAAAAGCTTAGATTAAAAAAAATTAATTAATTATTGCAAATAATTACAATTTATAACTTACATATAAGTATACTAGTAATGCGGACACAAATTCATACAAATACTGTGATTACAGAATTATATACTATCCTTAAGTAATAAGTTTAGATTCGCAATAAGTGAACGCATGGGTCCGCTAACCATCGCTGATACATACTAAATTTAACATAAAATTGAAAGTCATGTTACTCTTTGCTATAACATACAAATTATAGCCAGATTACAGCTATAAATACAGTTAAAATTGCTGTGACTGCATTTTGGATTTTCAGATCGCTGTCACAACGACTTTACAGCTATAAATACAGCTAAAATCGCTGTGGCTGCATTTTGGATTTTCGGATCGTTGTCACAGCGACTTTACAGCTATAAATACAGCTAAAATTGCTGTGGCTGCATTTTGGATTTTCAGATCGCTGTCACAACGACTTTACAGCTATAAATACAGCTAAAATCGCTGTGGCTGCATTTTGGATTTTCGGATCGTTGTCACAGCGACTTTACAGCTATAAATATAGCTAAAATTGCTGTGGCTGCATTTTGGATTTTCAGATCGCTGTCACAACGACTTTACAGCTATAAATACAGCTCAAATTGCTGTGGCTGTATTTTGGATTTTCGGATCGTTGTCACAGCGACTTTACAGCTATAAATACAGCTAAAATTGCTGTAGCTGCATTTTGGATTTTCATATCGCTGTCACAACGACTTTACAGCTATAAATACAGCTCAAATTACTGTGGCTGCATTTTGGATTTTCCGATAGCAGTCACAATGATTTTACAGCTATAAATATAGCTAAAATTGCTGTGGCTGTATTTTGATTCTTTTATTAACTATCGCAGCGCTTTTACAGTTAAAAATCCAGCAAAATAGCATTTGCAGCCAAATAGATGTAATTAAGGCTGGCAGAACGTTTTACTAGCTACATTTTTGCTGTTGCAGCGAATATAGCCAGACTGTGTTACTTGGGTAGATATTGATTTTAAAAAAATGATTTTGTTATAGGATTACATAAGTCATATCTTTCTTATATTTTTTATATATTTTTTATAAACTTTATTATTTTTATACGAATAAAAAATAAATATGATGCAGATACTTTTATTAATTTTCTCAAAAGCAATTTTTACAATGCAATTTACTATTAATATATATATATCAAAATTATTAATAATGTGTAACACATTTTTTTATATGTTTGGAAAACCATACAACATAGTAAAATTATTGTGTGAATCTAATATATGCACAAGCTGCAAAAAATCGTACATTTAAGCGGTTCACCAATAATATATAATCGATATACTCGTTGATAAAATAGACTGGTTGCTGTACAATGGTCGAAATTATTTACCGGAAAAACGTCGAAAATCACTCCTTCATACTTTGAGAAGATAAATCAAACGAAGAGGATATGCACGTGTGTGTATGTGTGTGTATGGCGCCGGGTGTGCATGCGATCGAAAATAGTGAAGAGGGTAACCGAAAAATTGTCGATGGAGTTATAAAAGTAGATTCTGTGGCCTCTTTCGACACCCCCTGATGTCCCCCCTTCCTCTTGTTGTACCCCAGGTCGCAAAAAGCAGACGCGGGGTCGCCAGCCCCGAAACGCGAACAATAATACATTATTTATATGTCGTTCGGATGACATTGTGTGTCAGCACACGCGCATCTCTTTGACATGACAGTTTAATTAATTTTAGCGCATCAACACAAACCAACTGTAAATCATAAAAAACTTAAGAGGAACAAAATTCTAAATTTTACAAATAAGGGTTGAAAATTTGTCCAAAAAATAGGCAAATTTTAAATAGCTGTAACTTTGTTTCAAAAAATGATAATTTAAATTTTAAAAAAAAGATTTTAAAGCTTGAAATCTCTACTTTCGAAAGAACATAGCTTTTTTCATTTTCTTCAATTCTGGTATTTTTTACATACAGAAAACGACGACGTAACGAAATGGAAAATTTTTTTCTCACTTTGTAGCCATGTTGCATACACAAGAAGATTTGAAAAACTTTTTCGATATTTTCACGTTAAAGCCTGAAGTTTTCCCTGCAAAATCATTTTTTTAAATTTAAATTTCGATCTTTCCTTATCAAGTTATCGCAAATTGAGGAGAAAATGTCATTTTCACTTAAATCGTTCATAACTCCGTTAAAAATCATCGTACAACAATTTTAAGAATATATTCTTAAAGCTGAATCTTTGTTCTATAGTATGATATAAAAACTCAATTTCTTTTAATTCGTGAACTTTGTACAAATAGATGAAAGTAACAAAAAAATTCACGAGTTTTCTCCTTTTTGTTTAAATTCTTAAAAAAGTTACGTAAAATGACTAAAAAAAATTTTATCTATTGAAATTTTTGTACCTTCTGGTATCCCATACTTGACAAAAAATCACAAACTTGCTGTGATAATTTCTTTATGGTTATCCGTATGTTTAAAATGAGCGATGTGTACAATATGTAACTTTCTTGCAGAGTTTAAACAAAAAGAAGAAATCTCGCGAATTTCTTCGTTATTTTCACTTATTTGTAAAAAGTTTACGAGCTGAAAAAGATTCCGTTTCTATATCATACTATAACAAAGATTCAGCTTAATTTAAGCATTCTTAAAATTGCTGTACGATGATTTTTAACGGAGTTATGAACGATTAAAGTAAAAATGACATTTTCTCTTCAATGTGCGATAAGAAACTTGATAAGAAATGATCGAAATTTAAATTTTAAAGAAATTATTTTGCAGGGAAAACTTCAGGCTTTAACGTGAAAATGTCAAAAAATATTTTCAACTCTTCTTGTAAATGCGACAAGTCTACAAAGTGAGAAGAACATTTTCCATTTTGTTATGTCGTCGTTTTCTGTATATACAAAATATCAGAATTGAAGAAAATGAAAAACGCTATATGACCTTTCAAAAGTAAAGATTTCAAGCTTTAAAATCTTTTTTTAAAATTAAAATTATTATTTTACGAAACAAAGTTTTATAGCTATTTAAAATTTACCTATTTTTGGACAATTTTTTTGATCCTGTAATTGTTTCAAGAAATGTATATAATCTTTTAAAATACAATTATTGCCATATCTTGAATGAATTTTTTATGATTTTCACATGAGAGAATACAACAAAACTGTGTTTTCTACTGTTGCAAGAAAATCGCGGAAACCGAACCAATGACTGTCGTCCGAATTATAGTCTACAGGGTGCTATTTTAATTTTCGGAAACCGTTGCGTCACTCACCCTCCGACACATGAAACGCGTCATCGATTCGTTTGCACATTCGACTTTCTCGCTTTTTTTGTCTTCTTTTTCGCCGCATTATTCGATCGAAAAAACGCGATGATTGTCGTGGAATGAGAAGAAACCGCCTTACGCAGAACAAGAGAAGAGAAGGAAAAGAAACGTGGGCTTTGCCGGTGTGCATTCTTGCAAATGCCGCGGTAACTGGAGAAAGAAACGTGCTCGTTAAATTATAACAGCTACCAAGTTCCGCTTCCGGATAAAAGCGACATAACACAGAATGTGGAAGAAGGAGGGAGTGGACGGGATTTAGGGGATGAAAAAAGAGGAGAGAGAGAGAGAGAGAGATCACGCGGCAGAGGGTGGCTCTATATGCATACGAGAACATTCAGGTGTCAATCAGGACTCCGGATCTTTGAATTCTGGGGTGTCGAGCACGGAACACGATTTTTCCGCTAAAAATTTACGTATTCATTCACGTGCGAGGATCACGCGAATGGAGAACGTTGGTAGACAGGGGCAGATTACGAGCGGGAAGTCTGTTTGCTTTTTCACCACTCTTGACTTCATATTCGAGAGCGTATTTTTTGCGCCAACCGTCACGCATTGTTAACGTCAACGCACATTTTTTTCATACGTTACGCCAGCAATAACGGCGGAAAGGAAGAAACAAGTATGTATCGCGATGCGCGAGAAATTTGACAGCTCTTCGATTCTGAACAAACGAATCTGCGAATCGACGATTATTTATTATTAAGAAATTTTTTAATTATTTTTTTATTTATACACACATACATTTTGTCTTTTATATAAATAAAAATGGAGATCTTTAGTCCAGAAATGCAAACAATTTTATATAAACGTATTTTTTTATGTATACCTCATATACTCTTCTAATAAATAACATTTTCGAGCTGCTATCGTTTCTCGACTAATTCAATTAATAATAATAATAATAATAATAATAATAATTAAAACTCCTCAAAATAGTTTTTCCTCTCTTCTTTTCTTAACTTTTTATTTTATTAAATAAATTGCGTGCTATGAAGGATCGTAAAGGATGAGAAAGTTGTATTTAAGAAAGTTTCCAGACTTTGATAAACTGTGTATGATTTATTATGGTTCGCAAAGTGATACATTTCATTTCACATTGCACGCGTTCTCGCACACAACAACAAATAATAACATAACGATGTTTGTATGAAATTATTATTGCTATAAGCTTTCTAGACTTGAAAGAATTATGAATCGATGAAATACCATGAATGGTGGAAATTGACAGATTCCAAATCGCGGGGGCCTATCTGCATTCCTCGCGATCGGCATTAGCCGGCCAGTCGCAAATAAGCTTGGTGGCTTGGAAGATCAATCCGGCCGGACATTCGGTCTTGATAGGTTTGCCGTGGTTGCAGACATAGTACTATAAAAGGACACAATCATCATACAAGAGACTCGTTCTCAGATTCGTCTGATACAAATGCAAACAAATTGTAGTTTACAGCTTCACGTTACGAGGATTTCCAATCCTAATAGCTTAATAACAACATATCCGAAAGATATTCAGAGGATATTCAGAGAACATTCGAACATCCTCAGGATGTTCTCTGAACGTCTTCGGGATAAGTGTGCTGTTAGGAAAGTCATTTTAAGAAAATATCCGATTATAGAATTCAAGTATCGAGAATCCGTAAACACATAATGATAGTTGTATATCCATAATATTTGAATAGCTATTATACATATAATAAATCAAAATATATCTCGTTCATTTAAAAATGTATTACAAACATACCGTTGTACAGCTTTTGCTGGGAATCATATTAGGGCCATTGCAGTTGACTTCATTATCATCGACTGGCTTATTCGAAGTAGGCTCCGTAGGACCAGGTGTTACTGTAGGTGTTTTAGTAGTCCATTCGGGTTCCTTGGTGGGTTTCGGATTGTCTTCACCCGTGGAGGCTTTAGTACTGGGTGGCCTGTCCCATTCGGGCTAAAAAAACATGTGGCAATTATTATATTAGGTTCTTATCGCTTCTCAAAACTGCGACATTCTTTGTACTGTGGCGATTATATCGTCACATGCTTCCCAAAAATATTAGCAAGAGAAACACGTATACGAATACGGACACGCACGCATACGAAAAGGATAGAGAGACAAATAAACATAAATAGAAATAAATATAACAGACGAGACAAAAGACGAAAAACATCGTGACGTTAGAGACAAAGAAATTAAATATAGAGAAAGTTCGCTACCGATAGTCGCCGCGTACAGTCACACTATATCCGCACGGTCTTTCTTTATATATTGCTGTATCGAATTTTAACGTGTGCATTTGAGAAATATATTAGTGATATCAGCAAATACTCTCTCTCACATCATTATTAAATTCCCGTCTCGTATCGTTCCTTCAAATTCATCGCGACGCGCGTAATATTAATTACCAAAGTACTAAATAATATTTGAGAAAATATATAATATTTTATCGATTATATTACTGTCTTACCCTGGGCGTTGTCTTGTAATCCGTAGGTGTTACTGTATAGCCCTTTAGGCCATCGTAGATTGCATTCATGAGGGGATTCACAGGTCCGCAAAGTCCTCTGAAGTCATCCATATCGACAGCCCAAACCATGGCACCGAGATACTTCTTCTCCTTGAGGAAGTTCATCTTATGAACAATACTGTCAGCATCCTCGTAACCGACCCATTGGGTATCTGCGAAGAATCGATAATTTAAACTATTGTAAAATAAACTGCTGTTAAAAAATACTTTTTCTTATTCCTTTTTAAACGAATCATAAAAGATAAGAATATGTGATCAAAGTAATATTTTTATTTATTGACGAAATTGAATCATTAAACAATATTTTCTCGATTATTTATTACATTACTAATGTGTTCACTCTATAATGTTTTACGAATTGATTTTTTCCATGCTTTATTTATCGAACTCAGAAATATCGCTGTAAAAATTAAACTCACCTTTGTGCATATAAGGTACTTTGCCAATGTCGTCATATTCCTTGGTCCATCCGTTGTTCGGTTTTTGGAGTTCCATACAGATCTATAAATTTAATAAATTTTAAAACGTGGTCAATGCGCTTTGTTGGATTTCCTCAGTCTTTTGAAGATCGATCACTTACTTCGTAGTAAGCCAAGAAGCCTTTAGCCGCGGTATACTTGCCGGGTGCGCCTCCACCAGCTTCTTTGTTGATGTAAGTTCCGGGCTTTTTATTGTTGTTCCCTTGACTGAGGGTAAAAGTACGTCCGTACAGTGGGATTCCTACGACGAGCTTGTTAGCGGGACATCCCTTGTCTTCCCAGAGTTGAAGACCATCGTGCTAAAATAACGACGATGATAGCATACAAATCGATAGACATAATTACTGATATACCTTATTACTGATAAACTGAAAATTATTACATGATTATTTCTATCGTAATAATCTCTTGCGTCAATTTAATTATTAGAATTTTTATTATTTTTTTATAAGACTTTTTAATTTTTTAATTATTAGGATATAATATAGTATAAAGTTTGATATGCGCTTTCATCGATAAAGGAGATATGGGAAACGTACCACGTTTAGTTTCTCGTAGGCGTACTGATCGTGGGGTCTCCTGTAGAGCGGGCTGTGAACGTCGGCGAATCCACCCCAATTGCCACGAAGATCGTATGACATGACGTGGATGGCATCGATGAGCCTGCAATTATTGAAATACTTATTTAAAAAAAATAAAGGTCTTTTGCGTCACGCATTATATAATGTAAAAATATAATAATAAAAAAGTATTATATATATATATTTTTTTTTAAGAGTATAAAAGAGAATGTAAAAGAATATAAAAGAGAAGAAGAATATATATTTTATACTCTTATAAATAGTTGAAAATATTATTCGACAACGAGAGGCAACACTTACTCGCATAATTCTGGCACGTGGTATCCCTCGTTGAGACGGAACGTGGCCATCGGCACGGCCATAGTGATCTCCCAGCCTTTACCTGCCTTGTTGAACGCTGTCCTCAGCTCCTCGACAAAGTAAAAGAAGTTGTTCTTGTCGCTGAAAGTGCCGCCTCGATCGGTTGCAGCCGGATATTCCCAATCAAGATCGAAGCCATCGAAGCCGTAGCGGTTCATAAAATCTGCGAGGGAAATCGGAATTTAATTCCTTCCTCATTTAAACCAACGAGAAGGAGAAACAGAGATGAATCTATAGACTTTTCCACAGGAGAAACCGCGGAATAAAACTAAACCTCGAATTTCTCGATGCGTATCACTTTTTAAGCGTTTTTCGTCGTTCCTTTTATTATGATGAATTCTAGAAACGAAGCACGTTTTTGCACAAATTACACTTACCAACTATACCCCTGATGAACGAATCACGCCTGGCTTTCACAGTCACCAGTTGACTGTACTTTTTGCCACCCTCGGCCCAACCGCCAACGGCGACTTCAGTCTGTATATGCGGATACTTCTTCTTCAGGGCGACGAACTTGTCGAAGCCGCCTTTTTGAACGTCCAGCTCTTCATCGAGAATAAGCGGTTCCCAGGTGACGTTGCTCACGCCGATGAAGGAGTAGATTATGTGCGTGCACAAATCAGTGGGGATGTCATCGATGCCATAGCTGCCTACGTCCGGACGATAGATAGCCCAGTTGCTGAAATAACACACCAGCCTTGGAGCTTCTGAAATATCAATACAGCATTTAAAATATTTTTTAATTTAATTTTTTATTTTTTAAATTTTAGTTTTAAATTTTAAATATTTTTCGAAATTATTAGATCGTACGAGAAACATATATAAATAGTTTTTGATTTATTATCTTCGCTCTTAAATTCAGTTGATACAATTTTCGTCAACTTTGTAATATAAAAAATTATAAAGGTAAAATATAATTCTCGAGTAAAAAGGGGTTCAGCTCCATTTGTATTAACGAAACATTTTAACGATAACGTAAATTGATCTCTTGTGCGTCATATCTTTATCTTATCGTTAAAAGTAGGCTCACCGGATGCTCCGTACGCCAAGAATGTCAGGAACACTGGAAGAGAAAACAACAGCTTTCCCATTGGTGTCATTTTTAAATCTGTAATTAAAGAAAAAGACAGAGCGATTTTTTAAAATTAGTACTGCCTTTTAAAAAATTGATATAATATTACTTTAAGGATATATAAATATATAACTTTGATTACAGTATATGAACTGGAGAATGCTTGAGTCTACACACAAAAATATGCTCTAAAATCGCTATTCTATAAACTTAGTACGATTTCCTCGGCACTCAACACGGCTACTTAAATTTTTTAACTCTTGCTGAATTGTTTAAAAAAAGTGATATATCTTTAAGAATATATAAATATATAACTTTGATTACAGTGTATGAACTGAAGAATGCTCGATTCTACCCGCAAAAATCTGCTCTAAAGTCGCGTATTCTATAAACTTGGTGCGATTTCTTCGGCACTCAACACGGTTCTGCATCGCGGCCGGTTATCGGAGCGCTTCATCGAGTCTTTGCGGAAACTCCTTCGAGCGTAAAGCGATCAATTTATCGAGGCGTCGTCGTGCCCAAGGGGAATGATCTACAACGACCGGTTCTCTGATGACACACCATTGACACCATCGTGAAATCTTCGCGCGACACGTAAGTATGTATCGTGACGCTCGGCTCATTCGTGCATAAAACGCGTAACTAAAAAATATACATATATATGTGTATATGTATGTGTTATGATCCCGCTAGAATCAGTTTCTCCCGATCTGTTGATCTAATGCAATCTCTCGTCATATAGGAATATCTAATCGAGCGTTAAATTAAAAATCATTATCGATCGACGTCAAACTTTGATATTCGTCTAAATTACAATATCGTGTTATCAGTTGTGGCTGGTGCACTCATAGGATCGATTTACTTATGATATAAAATGGAGCTCGGTGATAGAGATACTTATAAATCTGCTGTGACTATAAATTAATTTAATACGAAATCGATCGTGCTGTGTGAGATATTCTCTTATTACGAATATATTTTCCAATCGCGGATGCGCGTATTATAATCGCTGCTTTATATAAAATCGATAGAGATTGGTATTAATATTTAACTATTTCTGCGCAGAATTATAAATATATTTAGTTATCTCAGTTATAACAAATCCATTCTTCCTATCTTTTAATAATATTAAATAATGAATAAGCAAATAACGGTTCTGACAGTCTCATAATTAGATTTATCTATATAGCTCTATTAATGCAGAATGTTTAATTAAAGAAGATATAAAATTAATAAATATTGATTATTTTATGTGGTTTAACAAATTCTGAAAAGTTTTCAGTTCCACGGTCATTTTTAATGGTGTTGAAATTCAAGAATAAAAAAAATGTGTAAAAATAGAGAACGAGTTCTAATGAAGCGCGATATTCATTCAATCGTATATAATATACGATTTAAAATTCCTGCTAATTCAGTCGTGTAGATTCCGAGTAAGATCTCGTAATTGAAATTGCATCGTATTCGAGATATTAGAGAAAGCAAATAAAAAAAAGGATTGTTTCCGACATTCTTCCGAGAATTCCCTGAATTTCACAATTCGCACCCGATATATAGGTAACAGAATTACGACCAGCAATAAAACGCGCGTACTCCGGAAAATACTTAGGCTTACATCCGTGTCAAATTGCGCAATTGTTTGTGACTGTATAACTTCCTTCGTAAGAAAAGCAACGGGAAGTTTCAGCGACGCGAAACTTCCCCGCTTAGGCCTGGTCTAAAATAATTGAGAAAATTTTTGTTTAAAATAATAGAGTCGTAATTTGTGAGTCGTAAAAAATTGACAAATCACAGTTGATAATTTCAAAAATAATCAAATGCGATTGATCAATTTCTCACAATTTACGAATTACGACTCTATTATAGTAGACCAGGCCTACGCTTAAAAAAGAATCTCTCTATCTCGGAAGAATTATATGAAACGTTCCAAGATCCGCGTAGAATTATTTTAATCGACTCAATTAGAATTATTTTAAGCGAGACTCGTCCGACAAACGGAATACCGGTGCTACAAGTTTGTCACGAAGTAGAGATAAGTAGAATTAACCATCACCGCGAGGCCGCGACTGACAAAAAGGGGAAGCACGACGATGTTTTGAAGTTGTAAAATCTTGTTCGAAGTTCTCTTTCCTCTTTTCAATTTTTCCTTCTTTCTCTCTTTTCCTTCTCTTAAACGAGACCGACATCGAATAACGATCCGTAAAATTCGGCATCTGGGAAAACTGCGCGCGCGGATGCTGGGGTCTCTCGGGAGAAATCAAAGATGGGTTCTTCGGATTCTCCACGACTGCCATTCACATGGACGAAATAAGAGGCGCAGTAATGTCGCGACAATGGTTAAAAATAAACGAGCGGAAACGCATTGTACGGGATGATGCGTCCTCTCTCGTTCGACCGCGAGGGATCCTCGCGCATCGCGCGAATTAAGATGCGCGATGCGTCAGATCCCGCGACTCCTGTTCCACTCGTTACACTTTGAATACAAACGCTGGGAAGGTCGACAAATAAATTTTCTCGAAGTTTTTGTTACGATGGAAACGGCTGATGCAAAAATCGAAAAGAACAAATTTTGAAAATCGCTTTTAAGATATAATTTCTAATGAGCTACTTTGTGGTTTGTTATATCACTAATTTTCTTGTCGATTTTGAGTGATAATAACACTCTGAATACAAACGCCGGGCAAATCAACAAATAATTTTTTCAAAGTTTTTTTGTTACGATGGAAACGGCTAATGCAAAGATTAAAAAGAAAAAATTTTGAAAACCGCTTTTAAGATAAATCCTGATTAGGTACGTACCCAGATAGCACAAGGTATTCGAAAAGAATTCTTTTGTATGTCACCAATTTTGAATCCTTTTCAAATACATACAGAATTCATTTTATTGATATGCTGTGCTATCTGTGTGGTTTTTTAAATCACTATAATTTTCCTGTCAAATTTGATTGATATAAATAATATAAATAAAATTAATTAAATTGGTAATTTATAATAATAATATTATAATAATTATTTACAAAATAAAATAACAAATCGAAAATTATATTTATAAAATATAACATTTATTTTTACTCGTATTTAATTTTGTATAATTTCGCAAATAATACCTGTCATTTATTTATACATTGATTGCAATGCGCAAAAAAGTTATAGACGAAGAACAAAGAGATGAGGGCCGAGATCTGTACTTGAATAATCACAAATCATCAAGTTGAGGCTACGAAAGCAGTTTAGATAGACAGAGAGAAAGAAACATCGTTAAGAGTATCCTCGCGTGTTACGATATCGCGTTGTTCGCTTTGTTAGAGGCAAGGTAACGGTTTAGGCCATTGCTGGACGATGTTAATTAATGTTTTGTTATTCGGCGTCGATCACGTCGACCATCGATAACGGTGAACTCTTGCGAAGGAATCGCTCGATTCTAACTTTTTTCTTTTTTTTTATTATGGTAATATGGTCCGCAGAGTCTCGTGACTACGTGGGCACATCTCCGGTCTGACCTTCAACTGTCAAAAAAAAAAAACAGGAAAAAAGTACTTAAGAAACGTTAAATCCGTCATGCTATATGAGAAAGGCTCTAATCAAAATATCTGGAATGTGTCATCAGACTTGCGAGAGAGAAAGAGAAAGAGAGACAACCCAGATAGCACAAGCTATTCGAAAAGAATTCATTTGTATGTCACCAATTTTTAAGTCCCTTTTCAAATACATATAGAATTCATTTTATAAAATGAATTCTAGTTTCATATGTAAGTTCGAGGTTAATTAATATATGGAACTTTTAGTAATCTCGTACTAAGAGATACAGTTCCAAAAAATTAATTCTCGCGCTTTGGGCTCTTCGGCCGATTTAAGAATTCTATTAGTATTTGAAAAGGGACTCAAAATTGATGGCATACAAATAAATTATTTTCGAATAGCTTGGGCTATGTAAGAAGATATACAAGGTGTCCGGTAACTAACGGACCAACGATTACAAATGGATTCTTTGGTCAATTTAGGAACGATTCTTCCTCAGCAAAAATGTCGAAAAAAGTCATCATTTTTTACAACTTTCCAATATTTGTCATTATGTATCTTTATAACTAAGCCTCAAATTAAAATTTTATTATAGTAAACTCTACCTGAAATTAACTGAAAAATGTAATTATGTTAGACTTTTAACTCCAAAACGTTTAGTTTTCAAAAAACCCATTTTTTTCAATTGCTTATAACTCTAAAATTATTGACTTCTCAACATTTTTGCCAAGGAAAAATCGTCTCCAAATTGGCCAGAGAATCCGCCCTTAATCATTGGTCCGTTAGTTACCGGACACCCTGTATAATAACAGAAACGACCACATCTTCAGTGATGAGAATCTCTTCATCGCAGAATTCGTGACGCATAGATTTATTTAACGAAAATATGTGAAAATATCGGTCTCTCTCTCTCTCTCTCTCGTCGAGTCGATCAATATAATAAAATAATTTATGCAAACGTTCAAAAGACCGCTAAATGACGAAGAAAGACACGAGAATGGATAGAAATTTCACGAGTTTCAAGTTCGGCTATTCGGTTTCGGCGTAGGTGCAACGAGTTGACCTTCGTTTCGGTCTCCACGCGAAGGAGAGAAAGAAAAACGAAATAATTAAGAAAACGACGAAGAGAGAAGTGGACGCTCGTGTCAATGATCCCAGTAAGATTCCAGATTCGCGCCTGTAGGCGTCTGATATGTGCCGGATGATTTTTACTCTCCGATATCAATAATGAGATCCGTTATCGACAACGAAATTCGCGAATCTTAATGAAAAAAGGTGTCCGAAATGACAAATGTGAGGGTAAATCGGTTTCTAATGACCCATGTAAACGCGCACGAAAATATAATCGTGTGTGTGCATTCTAAAAGAATGTCTTTAATATGTATTATCAAAAAGTATTTTTATTCAAATAAATTTTTATCAGTGAGAATAAAATTGGTTGCAACAATGCTTGATATAAAATTCTTTTCTAAGCGAAATTAAAAATAAAAAATTATTTGGACAGATTATTAAAATAATATTTTTTCTATTATATAAATATTCAATCCCGTGCGTAATTTTGTAATATTTTTAAATATTTTAGCTATATCTTTCATTAAGTCTTGAAACTCATTAATTTTTGTCATGAAACCGAGCACTTCGCGATTATCAGTCGGAAATTAAATATAATATAATACATATATGTTTCCACTGACAAATTCATCGTCTAGCACACGTATACAAACAATCATAATTGTTTATAAAAATTTATAAAAATTGCTGTCTACAATCAGACTATTGTCTCCCTTCAAAGAAGGCAGACAGCTTATGAAATAATTGACTGCTCACGAAAAATCGTCAAACTAATTAGACAAGACACAGCATTTAAAGGCTTAGAGAAAAACCAAGTTAACCATCTCTAGATGATTTAGATTCCTTTATCTCGCCCGATCTCTCTATTGTACACATATATGTCATAACGTTTGAACAAAGCAAGAATTATGTCGATACATCACAATTCGTCAACTAATCAGCATCCTTAGACGAACGCTCATTATCGAAAATTTATAAAAATTCCTGTCTACAATCAGACTATTGTCTCCCTTTAAAGA